TTTCAAACCGCGCTTCCTTTGACCACGTCGTACAGGATGTTTTCACCGAAGGCGCAGAACCATTCGCCGTGTTCACAACACAATTCATCCGCTGCGTACACACCCTCCTCACTCCTGATGGCACAATCGCAATAAACTACGCAGGCGACCTCTCCCTCGGTAGCACCAAACTAGTCCTCAACACAATAACCTCCATCTTCCCCTCCTGCCGCATCTTCCGCGACGCCCCCGCCCCCTCCCCCTCCCCCGGCCCCGACTTCGTCAACATGGTCATCTTCTGCGTAAAACGCGAAACCGCGGCCCCGGCCCCGTCTTTTTCCTTTCGCCCGCCCACCCCCGCGGATCTGCTGGGCAGTATCGCGAGGCGGAATTTCTTGGAGCCCCAGGCTGCGCTCGAGATTACGGGCGAGTATGTGAGGGGGGAGGAGGTGTTGGCGGGGGAGGGCGCGTTGGAGCGGTATCAGAGGGGTGGGGCTGTGAGCCATTGGCGGATCATGAGGTCTGTGTTGCCAAAGGGGGTGTGGGAGATGTGGTGATATGGATGTGCGGGGGAGGGGAGGTTGGTACCTGTTGTAGTGTGTGGGCATGGATTGGGGTTGGGAGGGAGGGAGGGAGGGAGGATGCCAGATGTAGATGCGGATGATTGTATAGATAGAACACGTGTGTATTTTCGCAAACGCTGTGGAAAGCTAAATGCATGAATACGAGTAAAATGTGCCAAAGCAACTGGTCGATACCGCTAAACATGGCGATGAGATGCAATGCATGCCACGCTTGAAAAAAAAAAGCTAGACTACTAGAGTAAATCAAGTGACAAGACAGAAACGCCTCGCTCATGCTCATGCTCATGCTCACGTTCAAGCCATATTCCACCATCTAAAGCGGCAGCCGGCCATGCATCCATTTCAATTCATTTCACGTATACCCCCCCGCATCACCGCTCACCCATGTCAAAACGATGCGTCAATGCCTTGCCCACCTTATTCTCCGGCTTGGGCGGAATATGGTGATGAAGAAACTTCTTGGTAGCGGCATGGCGCACACTCGCCGCCTTGGAAGCATCAAACACGATTTTAGGGTCGTCGTACGTTTCCGGGCAGCAGCAGGCGATATTCCGGATGCAGGTGGAGGTGACGACGTCGTGAATGGAGATGCGTTTAGCCGGGAGCGGGTGTAGCATTTTCAAGACCAGGCGTTTGATGGCGGGGGGCTCGATGAGGCTGAAGAGCTTACCGCAGCGCGGGTGGCCGTCTTCGCCGTCGAAAATGGCGCCGTCGGGGTGGTGTTCGAGGAAGGCGTCCCAGCCCTTTTTGAAGCGGGCGTAGTATTCGAATTCCGGTTTTGCGGCCTGCCAGGGACAGCCGCCGAATGTCATGGTCAGGTAGACAATGGCGCAGGACCAAATGTCCAGTGGACGCGGATCGTATGCCCGGTCTTTTTCTAGCACTTCGGGCGCAATGTAGGGTAGACTGCCGCAGATGCCGGGCTCGGAGAGACGAATCTTGCCCATGTTCTTGCCGCACTCGCCTCCCGAAGCGCGAAGGCCGGGATGCTCGCCGCTGAAGACTTCGGCCACGCCGAAATCCGAAATCTTGAGGTGGCCGTCCTTGCTGAGGAGGAGGTTTTCCAGCTTGATGTCTCGGTGGGCAATGCCGTGGCTGTGCAGGTAGTCGACGCCGCGTAGCAATTGCTTGAAGAAGCAGAGTCGATCGTCGCGGCTGTAGAAACCCTCGACACCACCTGCAAATAGCTTGCGCTCGACCAATGTGTACACTTCGCCATAGGTGCAAAACTCCATGACGTGGTTCCATCGATCACGATCTGTGCACAGTCGCACCGTCTCGACAATGTTGGGATGATGCAGGCTCTTCGCGATGCTGTACTCTGACTTGATCTTGAGGACATAGTCCTCCTCTGTTTCGTCCTTGTCACGTTCCCTAAACTCCTTGACGGCGACTAGCTCCTCGTCCTTTGCAACTGCTGTCCTTCGCGCCATGATTCTCACTTCAGAAGTCGCCCCCTTGCCCAGGATCTTGCCTCGCTTGCCTGGCATGAGGCTCGAGCTCTTGAACTCTTTATCCAAATCACACCAGTCAATAATGAATTCGTCTGGCAGGTTGACGCTGAGTCGGCGGGCCTTCATGCCTACGCCTGCGACGGCCGGTTTGGAGAACGTGTTGAGCATTCCAGCCGTTGGCTTCTCCTCGGTCTCGCCGATTCGGGGAACCTGTTCGGTACTGGCAGAACGCCTTCGTGGCCGTAGTGGCTTCTTCACTGTGCTTGCGCTTTCGCTGCCTGCCCATGTGATACCATGACGGGGACGGCTCATACGAGAGAGTGCCGTGGTAGACGCAGGCTTCTTGTCGAAACTCGGCCGCGTCTCTGGCGACATTGTGTTCGGGGGTGATGCTGCAAGAGGCGGCGAGCCGGCACGTGAGGATCGGTCTGAGCGGCGGGTGAAGGAGAATGAGCTCAGTCTTCGGCTTTGTTTCGGTATGTCCACTGCTGGGGTTGAGACATTTGCCGGTCCATCTACACCCGTCTTGACAATGTACGTCTCCCTTTCAGCCTTTGGATTCGGCGATCCATTTGATTCGCTCGCGGATCCAGCTTGCTGCTGACTCTCCTTGCTCGACAACCCCCTGTGTAATTTGCTGCGCACAAACAGGCCTACCCGCTTTCCCAGTCTCGATTTCTCGGGCGAGAGTTCGTGTGTCTCCTGGTTTGTAGCCGTTTGCGTGGAAAGGGGAGAGGTTGCCGACGTACTTGAAA